TAATAAAACCAATTTTTAAAAAGTTATATTTTTTCCCCCATCAGTTATAATTCATAAATCAAAAAGTAAACATTTAGAAATTGACAAGAATGCAGTCTAATTAAAAAAAAATAAAACCAATCATTGACTTATTTTTTAATAAAGATATGGAACTGGTAATATTATTAAATAAAGTGAATACATTTATTCATCCAAGTGCAGTGTGTTGTATTCGTGTTTTCTCGATGTTTTAAATATCATCAGCCGGCAGGTCAGATGCATAATGCAATGCGTCGTGACTCGTGTAATTTTTTTAAAACTCTAGTTACAATAGTGTAAAAAGACAGGAATATAGACCACGTAATCATTCGGTTGATTGCGGCGCGCACCGATAATAAAAAATGACTGTACACGGCAGACTGTAGACGGAAGTTTTCTAATTCCCAGCGAAATAACAATATATAACCGGTCTTTAAGAACGTCTTGATCGACTGGGATACAACCACTCTCCTTGCCTCCCTCTCCGTCTTTTCCTGGCATTTCTGGTTCCCTGATTTATTTTATTTTCCCCGACATTTTTCAGTCAGTCAGTCTCTTGCTCTTCCACCAAGTTCATCGTTAACTTCAGGCTGCCGCCTCGACTCTGATTGGTTCTGTTCACGAGCTGGGGCGGGACTTACAATTTTATTGGGTCCATCTGATGTTTGTCACTGACTCTGACTGAATAATTAATACATACTTTAGGTCGGACTAAACCATTTTTATGGAGGTAAGAGAAGCAGATATTTGGAAAAATATTTACCCAAATTGCACGTTTTTGTGGTTTTCATTTAAATCTCAGGCATACAACTAATATAAAAATTAGAATTATTCATACTACAGGGGCCTAAATAGTATAACTGCTGGATTTTGTGGGGCCCCCTGGGCAGCGGGGGCCCCTATAATTGTCACCACCTTTCACCCCACTAGCGACGGCCCTGTATGGGATCATATACAATATGACAATATTTAAAGCTCAATACCATTTGAAGACAATGACTTACAGCAGGGGCGTAGAATTTAGTAGGGACGCTAGGGACATGTCCCTACCAATATACAGTGACACTGATATATCCCTAGCAATAATTTCGATCAAAACTTTTATATATTGATGTCCCCATCCACACCAATTTCAAAATCAAACCTACAACACTGACTTACAGTCATACAACCAACTGTACATTGTTCATCTAGGTGTCAGGTATGTGAAAGCAATATTTGCATATGATTTAACAAAAATATTAAAGGTGTGCATCATATATGAGACCTGGGTGAACAATGTACAGTTGGTTTTATAACTATAAGTCATTGTCTTAAAATGCTATTGAAGTCAGAAACGTTTATGCCAATTTCACATGTAATTTTGAGACGGTCGCTAAATATGCGAATATCGAACGTCCAACGTCCAATATCATTCTTTCACTTATAACGTTCCAATGTCTTAATGCCAAAGACCGCACTATATCTTTATATGACATTCCTAATTTAAAGTAAAATGTTATTTCTTCTGTCATCTCCATCTCTGCTGTAGTCCAGCTATGGTACGGTTACAGTATTGGCCGCTGTGGCTCCCTCAACATAACTCGTGGCCACGACAAATAGATGTCGTTTGCTCAAAATATTAAGTCGTGGCCACGAGAAAGATATATCGTTCCCTCAACATATGATCTCGAGGCTACGACTTTGCATCGCGTGGCCACGACATAATGATGTCGTTACCTCAACAAAATGATCTCGTGGCCACGACTTGATATGACGTTCCCACAAGATATTATCACGTTGCCACGACTTAATATCACGTTCCCACGAGTTTATATGTTGTGGCCACGTCAAAAATAAGTGAACCGAACATGTCTCCTCTCGGTCACCGTAATTTAGTCATTAATTGCACATATTTATTAATTGTGAAATATTTTATGTTTGGCTGATAAGACACTAGGGCAGGGCTATTCAATTAGCTTCATTCGAGGGCCGGATTATTAATTCGAAAATTTGAGGTGGGCCGGTGTGTTTAGCGTTTTTATTGAAACATAACAGTATCAATAAGTGAGCTGAAGTAAACAAAAAAAGTATTGTATTTACTTGGAAATGTGGTACTCAACAGTATGCAGATTTATTAGACCATAATAAATAACTTCTTTACGGCTATGTAAAAATATATGAATTATACAAGATCACTATTGGTAAGAATGATTTTATTAATAATTATTATAGGCTTAAATTAAAATATCCTGACAGTGAGACTTCGTAACCATAGGTAAAACCATGCATGGCTCACTCACTACCACTGTATAAAAAATGCCTAAACAGGTAAAAACTATACACACAATGAATTGTATATTCCTCCACTCCCCTAATAAATCTAATGCAATATAAATGACTATAACATAGTATTCAATATAAATATTCCACATTTCTGCCCAAACCATGGTAAATTACTTGCCAGTAATTTACTACATTCATGGTAAATGTTTGTAAGGGTGGTGATTAGGGGATTTATAGTCTTCTAACTTCGTTCATATTTCTGCTATTTACCTCCTCAGTCGTGTTGGGAATGTCAAGGCCGTTTCATCCGATTTAAAACTAGATAAAATCCTTGAGTGATTTGTGGTTTGTAACAGAGAGGAGTGTCAGATTGAAACGCTTCTCTCACTGGATGTCACAACGCTGTTTAATAATAGTGTCCGGGACCGGGAGTATACGCAACTCCTTTAAGCTTGCGTTCCGTTCCACTGGGCAGTGCTGCCTAGTTCAAAGTAAACTAGTGAAACAACTGGAAACGGCGCTATTTTGTACTCTATTTGTTGTTACTGACCGAGAAACCGCTTCAGATGATTGAGAGACAGAACGGTCCGAATGAATCCGAATCGTTTCAGACCGTTATGCAAGCGCGTTTGGCCATTTCATGGTAATCTAACCAACGAATGATTAATATCGCTGGTTCAGTCCACAGAAATACGGGACACACATAATAACTGCTGAAATATTTGGACTGAAAACGTTTATCTCAGGTCAGTCGGAGCGCTCATGGTACACACACAGTGCGTAGCCATCCAGCAGCAGGCGCCACTGCGGCCACGCGCATATCTAACCAAATCGCATAGTCTATAGCGTAGAGGCTCCGGCGTAGGTCCAACGCAGAAGTATAAATCAGCCTGCGCACCACCAGAAAAGATGAGGAGGGAGGTTAGGGTGCCCTCGGGCCGGATGGAGATGGTTGGGGGGCCGCCAATTGAATAGCCCTGCACTAGGGTCTTTATATTGACGTCTTTCAGTGTGGATGAAACATTTTCAGTTTTCAGAGCCGCTGTAGAAATAATCTATTCACTGTCTTGCAGTTTCATTTATATCAAGTGAATGTTTCTGATAATATAGTGAGCAGAATTCAGTCATGTGATCTCAACATGATAGGCACCATAAAGAGGGACCATTAAGATATTTCTAGGCCACTGAAATGACTGGAGAATCATGAGTGTAGATCATTTTGAACATGTCATGTGTCAAACGCCATAATTATTTATTTAGGAGTACAGTTCTGTGCTACACCTTTAAAGCATGTTAACAATGAGAAGTCAACAACTAAACAAATCAGTTTTACTATATTTAGTCATAATAAAAAAGTCCATTATGGTCTTTGGAGTCAATGTTGACATGTTGCTCTCTGGGAAATATTATCATGATGTCTATTTTTCCCACATTTTCCACATGCATGAAGTTCATCAGGACTCATAATCAGGTCATTATATATTAAACAATGTGCATCTGAAATGTTGAGAATTATTGATTCATTTATTTGAAGCTGCAGGTTTTTCTGTGAATCATGATGATTGATCTGCATATGAAGAACAGAAGCATCATTATGAGAAACTCCACAACATCATCCATGATCAAAGAGGTCAAAGGTCACCTCAGAGGTCACAGCTCATCACATATATTTCTTTAAACAGTGTTATATCAGAAAGCATTTAGTCAAATCTGAATGAGTGAGTGTTGAGAAGAGCTGAGGATCTTCTAATATCAGTGTGTTGAAGTGTTGTTTCTCTCTCTCTGCTGGAGTGTGTGTTCACTCGAGTGGAATAGAGGTTTTTGTACGAGCGTTTCATTAGATTGTATCACTGTGGTGGACATTCGGTGGAGGAACTAAACTGAGAATCGGTAAGTCTGTCGATTTAATCACCTAATAAAAAATACAATTTAGATTTCAGAAAGTGTTTTACAGTTGAAACAAGAACAACATTTATTAATTATAATGATTATTAGATATTGTGGCGACACTTTACTTTTTAATGCATTATAAAGGTATCAATAGCATATGTTATAATGTCATATATGTTTTCATAAATAACTGAAACGAAAATTAAAATGTTTAATAATATTTGCAAATTCCTTGTTACATGTAAAATTATGGTTGTTTGTCACGAGTTTTGGTGTATTATAATTTTTTGAAGGTTTAACAATGAATATTAATATTATAATGTGTTATAACTGCAGTTATAATTAGTGTTCAGTAAGTCTGTCTATTTATTTCTTATAATATTCCTAAACATACAATTTAAAACAAGTTGAAACAAGAACAACATTTATTAATGATAATTAATTTCACACATTGTTGTGAAACTTTAATTAAAGCCTTTAATGCATTATAAAGTGTTTCATAATGTGTTACAATGTATTATATCTTATATCTTATCATAAATAACTTTAACCAAATTAAAAATGCATTATAATATTTGCTATTTCATTGTTTCATCTCAATGGTTGTTCTTCATAAAGGTGGATCAATGAATAGATAATATGTTATAACTGCTGTTACACTTATTGATGAGATCATACATGCATTTCAATTTATATAGCAGTGCATAATTAATACATTAAAATACTTTTATAATCCAATATGTATGAAAGCTTTAAATAAAGTGTTAGTGATATTGTTGTATAATGATTGAATCTAAAACTAGAGCAGCATTATTCCTCTGCTGTGGATGTGCAGTGCAGTGCAGTGTGTTGTGTGTGTGTTTGTGAATGTGTTGTGTTTGTCTCCTGCAGCTGGTCCCACAGTGAAGCCCTCAGTGTCTCTGCTGCCGTCCTCTTCTCTGCAGATCTCTGGAGACTCAGCCGCACTGCTCTGCCTGCTCAGCTCTTACTCTCCACAGGGGGCGCTGGTGAGCTGGACACTGGACGGGTCAGAGGTCACCGAGGGGGTTCTGACCAGCGCAGAGAGCCAGCAGGACGGCCGCTACAGCCGCAGTAGCGTCCTGACCCTCAGCAAAGCACGCTGGGAAGAGGGAGAGCTGTACGTCTGCAGAGTAACACATGATGGAGCTCCTCATGAGGTCTCGTTCCACAAGAGCTCTGAGTGCTGATGTTTCTCTCCTGAAGATGAGCCGTATCTGAGTGTCCTGTGTCAGGCAGGATTCACATGAGTCTAGTGCTGCAGCTGTAGTGCTTTACAACTCCATACTGAAAGAGTGTGTGTGTGTGTGTGTGTGTGTGTGTGTGTGTTATCTTTCAATCTGCTGTGTTTGCTGCAACATTCAATAAAGCTTCTCAACAAGTTCACTTTGTGTCTGACAACATCATTCAACTAACAGATGAAGATGCAGGAGCTTTTCAGAAGGTTGATGTCGCAGTAAATGTCAAATAAAGCTCTTGGGGTTTGAACATGGTCTCTGGAGACAGAGCTGCTCTATTCTGAGAGATCACAATCACTCCACCCTGACAATGCAAATGGGCTTTTCAGTCTCACTCTCTGATTGGTTACATGATCTGGACTGGAACACAACAGTTTCACTTCTGCTGCACATTTAAAGAAGGTGTTTGTTAGGGTTTTTTATAAAACTTTAAAGTATTATAAAAAATAAAATAAAAAATCCATGATCACGGCTCAAGAATCAGCCGTTATGACAGTAATTGTGTAAGAATGTAAAAGTTTCTGTGGCTCAATGTAAAGCATCTCGTCCAGACAGCAGAAGTGACTGAATGCAGTGTGTTCAGTTTGATTGACAGGGATCATATATTACACCTAAAACATGATGGTCATATTGAAACACTGACTCATTCTCTTCATAAAAACAAGATGAATGTTGATTGTAATGATATAGTGTCATAAATCATTATTCAAACCTGGACTAAACACTGGCAGAGTCAAGAGGAAGATGATGCTGAAAGTCATGTTTGTTGGTTGATGAAGAAGAGCTCTTGATCATGTCATGTTCAGTTCATAGAGCTATAAACACATGCAGAGTGAAGCATGTGCTGATCATATAAAACACCCTCTGAATCAGGGGTGTCCAAACTTTTTTTAGTGAGGGCCAAATACAGAAAAACAAAACAAAGGGCCGGGGCACACACTAGAGGAGACGTATTGACACATGAATACTGTGTGTTTACGACCTGGCTTGTTACTCAAGGTCTCAACATAAAAAGGAACACGAACAAACAGTTGAGGGTTTAAAATAAATAAAGAACTGTTTATTATTAAAGTAAAAAATTTTTAGGTGGTATGAATTAAATACAATGTCAGTTGTGTGTGTTTGCAAAGAGGTTAATAACTGGAACGACAGGCCTGCAGGGGCACAGGGGGTCGCAACAGTGTGTGGCCTATCTCTAACTCACCTATAATGTGAAGAACATTGCACTCAGTGGGAGCAGTGATGCTGTCCTTTGGATTGAAGATGTCAGGAGAAAGTTTGGTGGTTGAGACACGAAGGACTTCACAGAGATGGCTATCAGCCATTCTGGTCAGAGAAAATGTTTGTTCACATCTGTATGTAGAGCCGAACAGGCTCATCATTCTTTTTGCGTGGCTTCTCATCAGAGGAAACTTGGCACTATCCAAACTCTGATAGAAGTCAGGGAGGGAGAGAAGCTGATGTTGACTCTTCAGAGAATCATCACATTGCATTTCAATCAGTTCTAACTGCAGACTCTCTTCCACTTCTTCTGCATCCACCAGGAAGGGGGTCGAGAACAGCTTGATTTGTTTTTCGATGACAGAAAAATCTTGGAAACGCTGGTTGAATTCTGTCACGAGAGATGCAATCACAGACACATATTTCTCCTTTTTAGCAGAAAGGTCGGCCTTTGGAAAAGCAGACTTGATTTCAGACAGCGCAGGGAATTGTGCAGCATTAAAGCTTCGTAGTTGTGTCTCAAACAGGCAGAGCTTTACACAGAAGGCTTTCATGTGCGCATACAGGTGTGGCACCAGCTGTTCTTTGCCTTGTAGGTTCTTGTTCAGTGTATTCAGATGATGAGTTAGCCAAGAAATCTAGACGCACCCTAGCGGCAGCAAAATTTATTATCCAGCCAGTGTAGTCTAGCAACTCTCCGTTGGCTTTCGAGCTCGAAAAACCAAACTCTAGTCAGGCCAATCAGATCGTGTACAGTTGGTGGGCGGGCTTAACATAATGACGGCAGAGTTGTGACGGTTCCGCGTGATTTCACTGCTACTTGAAAACAAAGAAGAAGCTGCTGCTGCTGGCGACCATCGGTCTTTCAAATCGGCTTTGGCCGCGACTCTAGAGGACTTGGAGTTAAGAGAACGTCACTTAAGTCATTCTTACAAAAGTAAGATGTGTTCAGAGTTTTGACGACTGGATACCCTGGTGGGAAAACGCGTGGGACTCACTCATCCACAACCGTTCGTTGCTCTGGTTGGTTGTGGCGCTATCCTATTGCGTGCAGAGGGATTTTGAAAGACAACCGTTTATCCCGCCCCTCGGATTGAGGCATGCCAATGGCGAGTTCACAGACCTAACATCTTGATGTGGGTCTGGCTTGCCATGCTAATGATGAGTAAGATCAACTAAAAATGCCAGGTCGGCCAGCCACAGAGGGTCACTCAGTTCATGAAGAGGTCGGCCCTTCTCTTTCATAAACTGATGGATTTCTGATCTCAGCGTATTAAACCGCTGCAGCACATAGCCGCGGCTCAGCCAGCGCACCTCAGAGTGGTAGAGTACATCCCCGTATTCAGCATCCACATCAGTGGTACAGTGGTGGTACATGGTACAGTCCTCTAGCTCGAATTATGTTGACAGTTTTTACAACAGTGTTCATCACATCCAGGCGCGTGCACAGGTAGGGCTCAACCTGCGCAGAGCACATGCCCTTTTTGCTGAAGTGCCCTTTTTTTTGGTGGTGGTGTTTTTTTTATTTTTATAAATTAATGCTATTGGTCACCCTTTAAGTCTATCTGTCTGTTTTAAAAATATGTAGCCAATGAAAGATCTTAAAAAGAGCTTGTGTAAATCTTGTTCGATCCTCAAACTGTCAGTAAAGCTGATAACTCCGCCCCCTCTATCGTGACTGAATGAACTGAAGCTCCGCAGCGGCCGCACAGCAGACAGCAGCTGAACGGAGTTTTGCAAGGGTAAACTAAGATCTTGTTGTTTGAATAAGTACTAAACACGTTGTCTATAAAAGCTCATATTTTATGTATTTGATGTCTGACCAAGATATGTGGGACCTGAGAGAGAGGGCTATGCTAGCATTTGCCATAGTCATAGCCAATACATAGCCTACACTTAAACAGCCTTTGCATACAGTAGCATTTCATTTTTTATAAAATGCAATGACCAAATGTATTTTACAACAGGAAAAACTGAGCGCCTATAACAAACTAGTTGGTAAGCTGTTGATAAAAATGTAATGATGCCGCCGGCACCGTTTCCATAGGAAAATCATAAGCACAGGTGCTGTTCGTACTGGAACTACACAAAGCACGAGTGATCCTCGTCACCTACCTAACATACAATACAATACAATTTTATTTGTAAAGCACATTTAAACCAACCGAGGTTCGCCAAAGTGCTGAACACTGACATAGTTTCAGACAAATTATAAACACATGACAAGAGCACAAGACACAGTTAAACAAGTGACAAGACAAAACAAAAAGCAGAAAATTAACTCTAAGGCTGGTTTAAAAGCCAATGAATAAAAGTGAGTTTTAAGTCGTGATTTAAAAGTGTCAAGGCTGGGAGCTACCCTGACACACATAGGCAAATCATTCCACAGCCTAGGGGCCACGACTGAAAATGCTCGATCTCCCCTATTTTTAAGTCTTGTTCTAGGAACAGATAAGAGTAGTTGGTCAGCAGACCTTAATGACCTCAGAGGAACATGCATCATCTGTAGGTCATCTATGTAAACTGGAGCTTGCCCATGAAGAGATTTAAAAACAAACAATAAAATCTTAAACTGTATTCTAAAACAAACTGGTAGCCAATGAAGAGAGGCAAGAACAGGCATAATGTGCTCCCGTTTACGGATTCCTGTAAGGAGTCGAGCGGCAGCATTCTGAACTATTTGCAATCTAGAGAGAGAGGCCTGGTTAACTCCTATATATAAAGCATTACAATAATCCAGGCGGGTGGTGATAAAAGCATGTATAACCCTCTCCAAATCTTTGAAAGATAAAAATGGCTTCAATTTGGTGAGTAGCCTAAGTTGAAAAAAACTAACATATATTTCTAAGAAATTTGTTCTTTGATTGATGATTGCTGATACACTTAATTTATTAACATTTAATCATGTTATGGTAATAATATTAAATTATGGTTAATTCGAGGCTGTTAATATGCACGTATTCGCTATCTAATTTTTGAATCTACAGTATTCTATACCCTCCGGTCGTCCTCACATGTATAAATGTAGTTAAACATGGTTTTACTACAGTAATGATGTAGTAGTAACTAAAAAAAAAACATTACAGAAGATCACTGTGAAATCTTTATATTTTATCATGCAGAATGTAATTCATAATTTAATTCATTCCAAGGCTTAATTTATTTGATCCAAAATAAGCAAAAACAGTAATATTGTGATTTTTTTTTTTTTTTACAATTTAAAATAACTGTTTTCTATTTGAATATATTTTAAAATGTAATTTTTTTCTGTGGTCAAAGCTGAATTTTCAGCATCTTTACTCCAGGTCAGTACTCTTCAGTGTCACATGATCCTTCAGAAATGCTTTTCACTGCAATAGTGCTTTTCACACTATTTTATCATTGTTTTCATTGCTGGCTTATTTTATGGGAAGTGTAGTGAATAAGAGACCTTCAAGAGACCAGCATTGGTCAGGGTTTTGCCATCAACTGCAACTGTGGAGAGATCCTTTTTAAAAATGAGGTTAATTAAGAACCAACTCCGAAGCCTTTGCTCAGAGGAGAGACTCTCAGACCTTCTCCTCATAGCCATAGAGAGGGACATCCCAGTGGATCACAGTGAAGTCATAAACATCTTCAAGCATGGCTCACAGAAGATTGCTGTTGTAATTAGGTTTAAAGAAGCCCTAAAACCCTGTATATCTATATTATCTATATTATTATTATTATGGTTGTTATTAATAGTGAAAAAATCTAAAGCTTTTGAGACTATTATTATTTTTATTGAATTTGTCATGAAGATGTGACCATTTCCTCCTTTTATGTAGGATTACTAAATAATCTTGATATAAAAAAGGGAGGGGGGTGCCCTTTTTCAGTTTCAGCACATGCCCCTCAAAAGGTCTGTGCACGGCCCTGATCACATCGCCCAGCTGGACAGTCTTGGCACACAGTGCTTCTTGGTGGATTATACAGAGCATCCTAACAGCCTCACCTCCGCTCTCTTTTATCTTGGCGTACACCATCATTGCCATTCATTTGCGATCGCCCTTCATGGCCGGAACTCCATCCGTTGTTACTCCACAGAGCTTGTCCCATTTAATCTTTTCAACTGCCTCTGACATCTCTACCTGTCGTTGTGCCTTTTAGGCTCATCATATCAAGCAGCTCCTCCGTACAGCAAAAATGATCATCTACTCCCCACAAAGAAATGAACAGCTGCGCAGTGTCGGTAGCATCTGTGCTCTCATCGCATGCTATCGAGTAAAAATCAAAAGCACAAGCTTAGTCTCTCAGCTGAAGTTTCACGTTAGCTGACAAGTCCTCGATTCTCCGCACCACTGTATTTCTGGATAAGCTCACGTTGTTGAAATCCTGCACTTTCTCCGGGCACATTATTTCTGTGACTTTGAGGCACTGCTTTATGAAACCACCGTCTGAGAAAGTTTTGCCGTGCTAGCAAATAAATTTAGCAACTTCATAGCTTGCTGTTGTGGCGTTTTCCTGTATTTTGTTAGCACGGAAAAACACAACTGTTCAGTTTATTCCAAAAATATTAAAAATGTACGTTCCATGACAGAATGCTATTAAACACAACAAAACATTTGAGATGTGATGGAAATGACACTGTGGAGATGATTTTCATGACTTAAATGGCTAAATGACATTATTTGTAATGTTGTATGAAAGGGAGATGAATGTCAGTAATTCTGTAATCTTCTACAGAAACATCAGACTGTATTTGATGGTCTGTAACCCCAGTATATCTCCAGAAACTAGAGAAGTGGTGTATTCCAGTAACATGAAGCTCCTGTGAGGACGCTGAACATCTGCTGATGGAGCTGCTCGATTCTCAGAGGAACACAATCACCTGATGATGCAAATATGAGTTTCACTGTCTGACACTTTATTCTCTGAAATGAGTCAGAAGAGTTGGACTGATGGAGAGATGAGGTTTGTTCATATTCATCAGTTTATAATGAAACACTGTCAGGGTCTGAAGCCTCTGAACTGCTGAGATCGTCTTTGACTCGGTTAGAGAGTAAAAGCTCGAAGAGTTCAATCCACAAAAATAGTAATGATACGCTGGACTCATAAAACAGCTCACGTCTGTGAGAAGTTGTGTTTGTATGAGTGTATGAGTCTGAAACTATGACAAATTATGCAAATTAGACATAAATATGAACAATCCTTCTGTTAAATTGTTACAGATATTAAACATTTCCCATCTTAAACATAAATGAATAATAAACAATCAACGATCATGTGAAATTCACTGACACTTCCACAAATATCATGTAGTGTCAAAAAAATCTTAATCTGGTAACATATTAACAGTTAGACATTAATATAACAATAAAGGCATGATAGATTTCCAGCTTGATAAAATAACAGCAACTTGTGCAAATACAAACTTAAAACAATTAAAATGATTAGCGTGTAAATCTCTACTGTAACTCAGAGACATAAGCTTGAACACACACAGCTTTTATGATTGAGGCTCACAGTAACTCAGAGTGTTTAGTGTATCGAGCACATGAGCTGCGTCTGAAATCACACACTCTCTCGAGTACAAACTTATTCTGAAGATCTTATTACCTCACGACTGATAAAAAGCATGTTTTTATAGTATGAGTGTGTGTAGTATGAGTGTGTGTAATTGTTACGTTCCACGTGTATTTGTGTGTGTGTTTCTGTTCTGTGTCTCCATTCATTGTTTTCAGGTGGTGATCGGGCATTGGCTGTTTGCGGGCACGTGTCGTCATTGTGGGGGCGTCATCATCTGTTCAACCAATCCACTGCTGTGCCACGGCTTTAAAAGGCCCATTCACAAATATGAAGACAGATCCTCGCCAGATCTCATCCAACTTGCGCGTTCTGAGCACGCTGTTGAAACCACTATCACTATTCACGCTTATAACTTTATTGTTGGCGATTTGAGTAAACGCTTTTGCCTGACCTGAGTTTTTGATAATTTGAGAGATGCCTAGCTAATCCGATTACATCTGGAGCACTGAGTTCCACCTATTGCGAAAGCATAGGACGGGAGGTAGGAATCATTGTTGTGTTAGGTAGGCGTGGAGTGTTCGCCACTATTGTACTTCTGTTTTTTATTCAGTAGCCTATAGTTTATTTAAGGCGGCGTACCCGCTGAAGATCTCGGTTTTGTTTCTATTTTTCTTTATTGTGGCAGTTAGTTTAGCTGGTACGGTTAAAATTAGATATCAGTTATGTTTTGCTTATTTCAATAATTTGGCGACACTCTTGTTTGTCTTAATTTTCTTGTGTATTACTTTTACTCTAACGAACCTGTTATTCAATTCAAATGAACATGTCTCCAACTTTCATTCAAAGAGAATAAACGTTTTTTGATGTTTCTTGGTTGTCTTTTTCGTATCCACACACAGCAACAGTGTCTCACATAAATGTTATGTAATCATTCCCTTTTACATCTTTAAACACGTAACAGTAATAATGAGTGTAATCTGGACGTACTACATTAGCCATGATGTCATTATCATGTGATCTACGAGTGTCAGTGGCGTCGCTTCACTGTCGTTCATAAATCCTCTCCTGTGGCCTCATGGGATAGTAAAGTGTCCATCATAAACACACTTCAGAATCTTACTGGGAGTAGTGGATCATCCGGGGACTTTTTACCTGTTCTTTTATGAGTGAATTCACACACACTTCTTTTGTCACATACTGTATTTCACCTCATATATAGCAGTGAAGTGTGTGATGTCAGATGCAGACACGGTCTTAAAGGAAAGTGAACAGAACTCAGTAATGTTAAAGATATGTGTCCCTCTAGTGGAGAAGTGTGGAAGTGAAATTAAAGAGATTGACTTTCCGGCAGTAAATAATATAGATAATATTGTAGAGGAAAGTTTTGCAGGAACGAGCTCCACTCACATTTAATCCACATTTTAGTCCAGTTTAGTAAGGGATATTAGATTATATGTGACATGTTTACTTACATCATAATAGATGAATAAAGTGTGTGAAAGGTTTGATATTGTGTAGTTTGTGATCCTCCATCAGCAGCTGCAGTTTCTCTCAGCTGTATCAGTGCAGTCACTGTGACGTCTGACTGACAGAGGTTTTTGTACGACTCTTTATCACTGTGTGAACACATCTTTACCACTGATAGCATGATAACTCTGACAGTAATAATCTCCTGTATCTTCAGTCTGGACTCCACTGATGGTCAGAGTAAAATCACTGCCAGATCCACTGCCACTGAATCTAGATGGAAATCCTGACTGGAGTTGATTCGCTGCATATATGAGGAGTTTAGGAGCTTCTCCAGGTTTCTGTGAGTACCAGTGTAAGTAGCTGTTAGCATACACATTACTGCTGGTTTTGCAGTTTATTCTGACTTCTTCTCCTGGTTGAACTGCTGATATTGATGGACTCTGAGTTACAGTGATCTGTCCTCTACACTCTGAAAGAAAACACAAATAAAAATTAAAATGATATAGCCTATATAAAATGATTAATAGATATATTTCACATTTTAAGATAATTAATAATCATTATAAAAACTGTATTACACAAACCTTGAATAAACAGTGCAATGGTCCAGATGAAGATGTTGATTGTGTTCATTGTTGTAGTTTAGTCTTGTGTGATGATGAAGAGTGTGTTGTGTTCTGCTCTCAGTCATGAAGTGTTAAACTCACAGCACTATAAACACTCTCAGAGCACTGAAGCATGTGCTGACAATGCAAAGAAGTGGGCAGGATTTACAACAGCTTGTGCTGAGAACAAACTCATATACACTAGAGTTACACAATCATGACTTTATTTAGTATGTTTATTGTGACTCCTGAGACACTGAGGATGTGCAGATGAACGTCCATCTCTGTGTCCATATTCAGTCATGTGACCATCATCACTGCTACACTTCCACTAGATGAAGCGCCATCACTAAAGTAAGATCATGAATCATGAGTGTGTTCAGAAAGTATCAGGACTGATTGTGAATCTCTAATCAGAGTTCATGGTGTCACTCCATCTATCATGAAGCCTCATGTGTGTCTGAAATCATCAGATGGAGAAGAAACAGGCTGTTAAAGATGGACACATATTAGAGCTTGTTCACGTTTCATGATCTTGTGTGGAGATTCAGAACCAGTCCAGATACTTTTATAACACACCTTGAATATGAAAACATGCTTGACTGTGTAGAACATGCAAAACACCTTTTATATCTTCATTGTCACACTTTCTATTGACTTTGGCTCTAATATTCAATAAAGTCATTATTTGAACAGATTCTCACTGAAGATTGAAGTGTGAAGCTGCAGGTTTTTCTGTCAATCATGATGATTGATCTGCATATGAAGAACAGAAGCATCATTATGAGAAACTCCACAACATCATCCATGATCAAAGAGGTCAAAGGTCACCTCAGAGGTCACAGCTCATCACATATATTTCTTTAAACAGTGTTATATCAGAAAGCATTTAGTCAAATCTGAATGAGTGAGTGTTGAGAAGAGCTGAGGATCTTCTAATATCAGTGTGTTGAAGTGTTGTTTCTCTCTCTCTGCTGGAGTGTGTGTTCACTCGAGTGGAATAGAGGTTTTTGTACGAGCGTTTCATTAGATTGTATCACTGTGGTGGACATTCGGTGGAGGAACTAAACTGGTGATCAAATGTAAGTCTTTTTAATTAACTATTTAAAAAAATACTATTTAGATTTCAGAAAGTGTTTTACAGTTAAAACAAGAACAACATTTATTAATAATAATGAATATTAGATATTATGGTGACCTTTTACTTGAAGCCTTTATGTATAATGCATTATAAAGGTTTTCATAATGTATGTTATAATGCAGTATGTATTTTCGTAAATAATTGTAACCAAAGTTAAAATGTATTATAATTCTTAAAAATATCTTGTTTCATCTGAAATTGGTTGTTTGTCGTGAGTTTTAAAGTATTATAATTTCTTAAGGTGTGACAATGAATATATAATATTATAATGTGTTAAAACTGTAGTTACAATTATTGATGAGATCATACATGCATTATAATATGTAAAACAATATATAAGTAATGCACTAAATACTTTTATAATGCAATATGTATAAAGGCTTTAATTAAAGTGTTACTGATATTTCTGTATAATTATTTAATCTAAAACAATGATGTTATTATAAGAATAGCATTATTCATAAAAAAAATCAAATTCTAAACATATTTCCATAATGTGTCTCACTATGAGTTTATTCAGTTTATTACAGGTTTGTTGACGTTTTGATTTTTCTTTTTGTAAAATGCTACCTCAACATGTTTGTTTAAGTAATCGCTTTTATTTTGGTTAGAACAAATGTTTGATGTGTAAAACATCTCAGAGTAACAAAGTGATTATCTATTGCAGTGATAACAAAACATAAAGAAGCTACTTCATATGGTAAAACAATCTAATCAACATTTCAAAAAACATATTTGGTAAACTGTAATTGACAAACAAAAGCCAATTAGTTTATGTAAATTTGTATTTAAATAGAGATGTATAGCAGCAATACCCTCTCGAGTTAGTTAAACATATTTAAAATAATATTGAAAAATAAAACAGATTTAAAATATGTCTATTGTGGTGCTTTTTTTTTTTTTAAATTAGCATGAAAGCTTCTTCTGCTTCCTTGAAACCAACATATACTCCTGATGATGATGGATATCTTTCCCGTATGGCTCGCACAACACATGACGGCAGAGCTTTTCTGTTGTGTCTTCCAAGTTTTTGACCTTTCAGTATCCACTCTAGAACAACCCGGTACGCCACCAGTCTGCATTGGCTGAAAACAGGAAATAGATCATAATCACACAAATATTGTTTGCCAAGTGTGTCTTCTCTTTCTTTCTTCCTTTCTCTCTCTCTCTCTCTCTCTCTCTCTCTCTCTCTCTCTCTCTCTCTCTCTCTCTCTCTCTCTCTCTCTCTCTCTCTCTCTCTCTCTCTCTCTCTCTCTCTCACACACCAAAACCAGTGGTGGAATGTAACGAAGTACAAATACTTCGATTGCCATAGATATATCAACCCGGTCACACTAAATGCGTCTTTATAGCACGCAGTGTGTTTATCGTGCAATTTATACGCGAAAATTAGTTTTTACATGCATAGGAAACGCATTGGTAGGTTTAGTAGTGATGTGGGATGCGTGTGGTTAGGATTAGTATGGCAAGCCAAGAGGTTCAGAATTACGCCATAAATTAATCGCGTTTACAGTTTTAACATAATATATATATATATACACCGTATGTAGTAAGGGTATATAGTAAGCTTGATGTGAGTATTAGGTTGAATGAGTTAGAATTAACTGTTTTATTAATCATTAGAATATAGACATTAAGAGAATAAATTGTTATGCAAGTACTTTTACTTTTAATACTTAAAGTACATTTAAAATCAGGTACTTTTTACTTTTAACTTAAGTAGGGTTGTCATTGTGGTACTTCTACTTTTACTAAAGTAAATATGTCTCTGGTTGTTTGTACATTTACTTAAGTACTGAGATTCAGTACTTCCTCCACCACTGACCAAAACACACACAGCATAGTAAAACATGCATTGTAGAAAGCTATGCATCATGTGTATTAACTTTAGTTTAAACTAACCTACTTACTCTACAGATAGTGTGCCACCTGGTCCTTCTGGTCTCGGACGTTGCTTCCAGTTCACTTTAGGCAAATAAAAAAAAACTTCTAAAACACTGCGACTTAGCAGGGGCGGAAAACCGGGATCCTCTGTTATACAGCTAGATACACTTGTCCCATTGTCTGCGTCTTCCAGATTTTCCAGTTGTGGCATTACAATGTCCCAATCGATACAGCACATGCTCTCCTGTTCGGTAGGCATCGCTTGGCACTGATGGCATTTACACCACCAGCTCTCCAATGCTCTCGGTCTTGCAAGAGCTTGGGACTGCGGTTGTGTTGCAGCTTCTTCCATCTCTTGCAGTTCAGTGTCAGTGTATTCTGGTTCGAATAGGTACGGTTGGTTAAAAAAATTTAAGTCTTCATCTACGTCGAAATCAGCAGACATATTTACGAATTGAAAAGCGTATGTACAGCGCGCGTCTTCCTCTGCTTGTAAACAGAAAGTTTTGCGCTTCCAACACGTCATCTTATACGGTAGGTGGCGGTAATACTCCTAAGCGGTGAGCAGCCGGTAACAAGAAGTAGTCGAAGAAGAACGTCCTCATCTCAGTTCTCGCGCATGCGTTCTGGAAATCTCTTCAACTCTCGTCTCAGGCCCACAAGGAAGTAATGGAATAGTCAAATAAAGTGGTTATTTATGTTTTTTTTCGCACAAAAAGTATTCTCGTCGCTTGATAAACTTATAGTTGAGCCACTGTAGGCACATGAAATATTTAAACATTTTCTTTAATGACTTTCTGGGCCGTCAAGTTTCATTCCCTTAGGCAGCCTATGGAGCAGTGATCCACCTCTCAGATTTAATCAAAAATATCTTCATTTGTGTTCCGAAGATGAACCAAGGTCTTACGGGGTTGGTACAGCATGGGGGTGAGTAATTAATGACTTAATTTTCATTCTTGGGTGAACTAACCCTTCAAAATCAGAATATCAGCATAGCTCACTTACATTCACTGAAATATTGAAACGTTAGCGATACTGATTCAAAACACGAGCAGCAGTGATTGAATGTCAAAGGGCGGTTTGAACGCGGTTTTGATTGGTTTTGTACCTGAGTCAGACCTGTCAGTTATTGGCTGAAGCGCTTCAGACCTGTCTGTTATTGGCTAAAGCGCTTCAGATCTGTCTGTTATTGGCCGAAGCGCTTCAGATCTGTCTGTTATTGGCTGAAGCGCTTCAGATCTGTCTGTTATTGGCCGAAGCACTTCAGATCTGTCTGTTATTGGCCGAAGCGCTTCAGATCTGTCTGTTATTGGCCGAAGCGCTTCAGATCTGTCTGTTATTGGCCGAAGCGCTTCAGATCTGTCAGTTATTGGCCGAAGCGCTTCAGATCTGACTGTTATTGGCCGAAGCGCTTCAGATCTGTCTGTTATTGGCCGAAGCGCTTCAGATCTGTCAGTTATTGGCCGAAGCGCTTCAGATCTGTCTGTTATTGGCTGAAGCGCTTCAGATCTGTCAGTTATTGGCCGAAGCGCTTCAGATCTGTCTGTTATTGGCCGAAGCGCTTCAGATCTGTCAGTTATTGGCCGAAGCGCTTCAGATCTGCACTCAAAAAAATAATTCATTGGATGAACATGATTTTATCATGCCACCTATATTCCATCTAAACAAACCAAGTTAAGTCAACCAACCTTTATCATGTTAGTTGAACACAAAATAGATGTGTTGGTTAAACATGATTTTAACATTTCCATTCAACTTATTTGCATCTTTTTTGAGTTACATGATCATTCCTAGTTAATTTAGTGAGATTACTTTGAGTGTATTCTACATTGGTCAAACACATACATTGTACAAACAAACATGCATACAAAAAGACAACATGCAAATCCATTTAACATTTTTATTTATGCAACATTTTGCCTGCATTACATCTGAATTGTAGCAATTGGCTACTAACTGGAAACAATTTACCAGATAACAATGAGACGTTTTCCGATACTGCCTAAAAGCGGTATCGTTAAGTACTGAAATTTATGCACAGATCCAATACCATGTAATTTAGCAAAGAAAGAGAATCTACTTTAAAGTAGTAAAAAAAAAAAAAAAAAAATCACATTACACTCACTTGTCAAACTGCATAAAAGGTTAGGCATTCATTGTTTGTATTACAAGAAGTTAAACCTGAGCCGCATACAGCAATGACGGTTTGGGTATTAGAATATAAAGACAAAATGGTATCAGAACACCTCTGAACATAAGTTTCATCTGGGGCACCAAAAGTACAAACACAAAAGTGCAACACGTCGTGGTGCTTTTTGATTCCTACCAAAAATATACCATATATATTTTAGTACTCTTCTCACTGTTATTTTGCCTGCCACTTGTAAAGAACATATTACTATATAAAAACATGGTATAAGCATAAAGCTACACATTTTAATTCAAACCTTGGAAATCTCTAACATGACATTTCTTATTTTTCTTTCAGCTGCTCCACCTTTGCATCAAACACGTTTTCACATTAGTATCAAATATCTTAAACCTATTAAAATATATTTTTTAACTTGTAAAATTGGTGGGGTTTTATGTTAAAAGTTTGCAGCATGTAAAACATTTTATCAAAATATGTAACACTAGTAAACATCCTTAAACAATCCAACACTAATAAACATTATACAATCTCAGAATTTGTGAATGACTCAAGTTTTTACAGTCCGCATACATTGAGCAAACTAAAAGTCCTTTTGAAAACAAAGCAAAAATTAATAAAAAAAAAACTGCCTTGAAGAGCTCTACTTTAAGCAATCACTTCAAAAGTGCATTTGAGGTCTAGTTGGTTGCTTCACCTGTTTACAGTCAGTGTCCATTGAGCACACTTAAAGTCCTTGTGAAAAAAAATAATTAAAAAATCGGCATACTTCTACTTTGAGCAAATTTACTTCATGAGCTTGTTTTTTAGGAACTGTGAAATGGTATCAGAACACCTCTGAACATAAGTTTCATCTGGGGCACCAAAAGTACAAACACAAAAGTGCAACACGTGGTGCTTTTTGATTC